GTCGGCGCTGGGGGAGCGCGGGGCCCCCCGGGGAAGCAGCACCACAGCGGGGAGGCAGCGGTGGATCCCTCACTCAGGCCTTGCCGGGGTCCTCCTTCAGCGTCACCGTCCGATTAAACACCATCTGGGGAGAGGCAGAGGGTCAGTGCTGAGCCCCACAGACCCACAGCGGCAAGGGGGAGCCCCACGCCCCCCCTCCCCTGGGCTCACCTTCCCCTCCGCGCTGTCGGGGTCCACGGAGAAGTAGCCCAGTCGCTCAAACTGGAACTTGTCGAAGGGCCGAGCGGAGAGGACGGAGGTGTCGACCAGGGCGTTGTGGACTACACGCCCAGCCCCTCTGCCACTTCTACAGCCCTGCTCCCCCTAGCCCCTCTCCCCACGGGACACGGCAGGACCCTGCCCAGGGAAGGGTAGATGTCACATGGAAGTGATCATCTCCAGCCCGGGTGCAGGAGGTCCCCAGGTCTACCCAGGCCCGTAACCCCATCTCCTGCTGCTACTCACAGGATTGAGGTCGCTCAGAAACCCGCCGGGCACCTCCGAGGGGTCCTCAGGATTTTTGTGCAAAAACCTGCCATGAGACAGAGTCTCATTCCAAAGCCATGGGGCGAGGGGACATGGTGCCCCGGGGCAGCAGCTCACAGGCCCCCCCAGCAGCATCTGCCCCACCAAGGAGCCGGGCAGACCCCAGCAGAGGCTGCTGGTGGATGGTCATACTGCTGCTCCAGTGTGGCTGAGCTTGCGCCCGTGCCTCCGGGCTACTCACAGCCGCTCGTAGAGCCGCACTTCACACACCAGCGGCTCCGACACCCAGTGGATGAAAGCTTTGGGCTTCTCCGCCACATCTGACTTGGTACAGGTCACCTCCAGCTCGATCACGTGCCCGCTGGCGTCCTGGGCAAGAGGAGATGAGACCAGCTGTCAGGCAGCTGAAAGGCAGCAGCCCCATCCCGCAGGGCAGCCCCGGGGTCAAACCACTGGCCCCCCAGCTCGGGGCAACCCTGCTGCCCGCCACGCACAGGGCTGGCAGGGAGCTGCCACACACTCAACGGCCACCCACGCTGTGCCCACAGCACTTGGCCCGAGATGACCACCGCTGCCCTTCCCTGGTGGCACACAGCCACGTCCTGACATCCCACAGCCCAACCTTATTGCACCAGTGCTCAGAGCCACACACCTTGATGACATTCTGGACGGCGATGACATAGCCAGCGTGGCGCAGCCCCACTGGCTGCCCGGGGGCCAGGCGCTTGTAGCCCTTGTCCACCTCCTGCAAGAGAGTTCACGGCTGCACGAGGGGTTCCAGCATGAGCAGCAGGTCCCCGCAAATGCGTCCCCCCACCCACTTGCGCCATCCCAGGGATCAGCGCACCCAGGGCTGTCTGAACTCCCACGTTTCTGCAGGATGTTCCCCAGCACACAGGCCATGTGTGGGCACCATGGGTTGAACATGTCCCAGCTAGGCTGAGGGCAGCCGGCATTTCCCTGGTGCCCATCAGAGCTGCTGGCACGTTTGAGAGTTGCAGTTGGGTGCCTGACCCCCGCCTGTGCCCCGTGCAGTGCCAGCGCCGCTCCCAGCACTGTCAGGGTCCCGCAGCCCGAGCCACAGCTCCTGGGAGGCAGAGCAGTATGGCCCGATGTGTCCAGCTCACCTCCCTGAAGTCCGTCTCCTCAATGTAGACGGTGGACTGGAAGGGCACTTTGTGAAAACCCCGGCTCTCATCAGCTGGAAAGTTGGGCACAAGGACCTCGATTGCCTGGGGAGAAGGAGGGGGTGAATGCTGACCTTGGGGAACCCCGCTCCCACCCCAGCCCGCGGCAGTCTCACCTTCGGGGCAGGGAAGTTGGTAATGGTGACCTTGAGGGGCTCCAGGACAGCCATGGCACGGGGGGCCTGCTCGTTTAGCACCTCCCGTGCACACGCCTCCAGCAGATGCGGCTCCATCGTCGCCTGGGCCACCGTCACACCAACCTGTGGGACAGCCTGCTGTCACCACGCTGGGTGGGGGATGAATCCACCTGCCCCATCCCATCCTGTCCCCGGCACCTACCCGGGCACAGAAGTTGTTGATGGCCTCGGGGGGGAAGCCTCGCCGGCGCAGGGCTGTCAGCGTGAAGAGCCGTGGGTCATCCCAGTCCCTGAGAAAACACCGGTGTGACAGCCAGGCATGCCTCAGGCAGGACCCACCCTGGCTGCTGGCCTCACTCCTACCTCACAGCACCCGTCTCCACCAGCCGGATGATCTTCCTCTTGGAGACGACAGTGTAGAGCAGGTTCAGGCGCCCATACTCCCACTGCACCGGGCAGTAGACATCCAGTGCGTTGCACAACCAGAAGTAGGAGGAGCGTCTGCAAGGGAGGCACAGGCACAGCCCGGCTCAGCCTCACACCAGCCCAGCGTCCCACGGACACACTGTCCCACGGACACACTGTCCCCCAGCACTTTGGCAGCCACCGAGACGTGGCCAGCTGCTCCCCCACAGAGCTGCCCCGCCAGGTACGGCTCAGCCCTGGGCTGTGCCATGCCCAGTGCTCACCTGGCCTGGAATTCTTTGGTGCAGAGGGAGTGCGTGATGTGCTCGATGGAGTCGCAGAGGCAGTGTGTGTAGTCATACGTGGGGTAGATGCACCTGCAAGGCAGACACAGTCACAGTGCTGCTCCCCTCCCGA